CCCCAAGTAAAAATTCCTTAAAAAAGGCACTGTAAATATTCGTATGTTCTCTATGTCATAAATGTACGTTCGGTGTTCCAGTACCAATTTGGTTCCAGTACCAAATAACACAAATCACACTCATATAACGTAATTGTCATCATAATATAATAGTATATGTTTCTGTACATGGCTTGGCATGTGATTTATAACAAAACTTAAAACAGTGTTTTGAAAAACCCTAGTTTTTTACAAAATGTGTTCTCAGAACGCTGCAAATGCCATTTTCTAAGCTTTTCATTTCGAGCTTTTTCTAAGGAATTCGAAAATTTGATTGTGAGAGCACTGTCCGATTCAGAAGTGAGCCATCGCCACAGCATCAGGAAGGCATATATACTTCGCACTTTGCAGGGTTTCTGGTCATCATCTAACGTTTTAATAGAATTTTACCAAAAAAGTTACCAAATCCTTGAATTTTAAGAAATTTTACCAAATTTTTACTAAAAAATCTTTTTTACCAAATTTCTATCAAAATTGTCGAAATTTTACCAAAAGTAAAAAATATGCTGAATATGGTCACACTGTATCAACGGTCGTTGGGGAATGCGAGTTTTAGTACCACACCACAGTACCACTAGCTATTAATAAAACTAGCTTCCACCTGATGTAACTGAATATGTAATTAGTGTGATGCCATCCCCAGCCAAGACAATTTGAAGAGATAATTTATATAAGACCTTTAGTAAAAGCAGTATATAAAATACTAAATATAAATTCCATCACCATAATAATGTTCAGTAATGTTATATGTAAATTTCGTTCTAAATTTTAGACAGTTTGATATAAATTTGCTTTTACCCGTGACTGATGAAACATCCATCAATGATGTAATCGTTTTAAATCTGAATACACGTGACTTAACATGAGGACCTCAGCACCTGCATGTGGCGTTTTCCGTGCATAGCGTTGTCCATGCACGCGGGATGTTGCGAGATTTTCGGAAAGCGTAAAAAATTACGAACCGCAGTTTTTTTACGCTTTCCGCGAAAGTCAAGCGAGATCCAAAGTGCATGGATGACCAGTGGCGTAGTCACCGCCCCCTTCCCACTCCCTGGCAAAATGCTGGGCCCCCCTTGGAAAAATTCTGACTGGTCATATACAAGCATGTGTATTATATTTTCATTTCTTCTAATAAAAATTCTATATCTTCCTAAGTTTTAAATGTTCTGGATCTAATGATGCATGCATGCTTTTCTTGTTGCAAATTTGCATGATGTATTTTCACACTATTTTGCTGTTTTTTGTTAATATACAGCATAATTTCAGTCTATTCTTCAATGAAGTGTTGCGTTTACTTGTCATGTGTCCAGTCTCTTTGGTCGAGTCAAGCCGGTATAGAAGAGATTTCGATTTTTGTCTATCTGCAAAGATGTTTTTACAAGGAAATAATTAAGCTTCACTCTTCAGGAAATTTTTTTAAACGAGAAGGGCGGTCAAACTCTATTGCACTCGTGATTTTTCTCAGGATTTCAGTGCATGCTGGATTTTCACGATGCAAACGATGACAATATTCTGAATAATTCAAGTAAGGATAGCTTTATTTCTTTCTGGCGATATACATGAAAGCATTTATATTTCATATACCTAATTATAAGAATTCTTTATCACTGCATATTTTTGTGCAAAGGTAGCCGAGCTCTGAAAATTTCTGATTTGACTTGGGGCCCATCGTGATTCCATCTTTTCACGCTGTGATTATTGGCTGTCAACCTGAAAGTAAGTTTGAAAGGCATGTATTATGCATAAAACAAGAACCCAATGTTCTTTTAATGCCGTACTTGATTTGTGTTGTCGAGTTTATTCATATCTGTGAACTGCCACCATGGTTTCTCATTCGTGCTTATTTAAAATACATATGGCGTGCTGCGCGTTTAGACACTTATAGGAAGAAATTTCGCAAACAATACTTAAGCTACGAATATACGGGCAATACTTTTCTGGCAATGGCAATGCAATGCAGGTAAAATCGTTGCATTGCCGTCGCGAGAAAGAAATTGCTTGTGTATCATGCTCTGCGACGGCAACGCAAAGCTGCGCGCAATCGTTGCCGAAATTTCAAATCATTTGATTTTCGGCAATGATTTCCGAAAATTGGGAGGTGTGGTCAAGGAAGGTCAAGGTTGATGAATGACACGTTTCTTGACCAGCCAATGAAAAGCGTTATGAAGACATATATTGCAGGTGAAATATTGCAGGTGTAGCCACCTTGTGCGACGGCAACGCAATGCTGTTATCACCCATTGCGTAACCATCGCAGTAAAAATATTGCTCGTGTATCCGAAGCTTTAGTAATCCACACACTCCCACATTTCGATTAGGAATTTCCGCGTAAACAACGCAAATAGATTGATATAGATAGATAGATATATATATACAGGTTTGCAAACTGGGCATTTGATTGGCTGGTTTGATTTAATAGCCAATCAGAGGCTTTGTTTACAAAGCTGTTTGTGAATTTCATTATGAACTTTTGAACTTGGCAACGAATTTACGAAGTTCGGAACGAAGTTCGGAACATTTTAGTGAAAAGTAAGTTGAAATCGACTGTACATATATATTTGTATAACATGAGTGATATACGTTTTGGTAACGTGTGTTCAGACAATAGTATCTTATTGCAAAAAATATCTAATTTAACGTTTGGGTTACAAACAAGTTCAATAATTAAAGTTCAAACTCAAAATGGGTTGTAGTAGATTGGCCCCTTTAAGCGAAGAGGAACTGTCTAAATTATGGTCAGGAAAGACAGTGACAGTATATACCAAAAAGGCCTCGAAAAAGGCCACAAAAAAATGCAAAACCAATGTCGTCTTCGACGAGTATTTGTTATTTTCTCCTTAAATGTTAATTTTTTTCTCCATTCTTAGAAATGAGAATGTTTACAAAGACCACAACGTCAACGGTACTTTCTTTCGATATACTGGGGATTAACAGGAACAATATTATTATGCCAAGTGCCCGTGCTTCCTGCAGCACACAACAATCTTGGAATCTATCAAATTATGATACATGCTGAGGACTTATTTTTTCCAGATAGACTCTGAGCATTTTCTTCCTTCTTATCAATCGCTTCTGCTTCATTATATGTGTTTTGATGAACATCTCGCGAAGCACATAAAGAGTTATTAGTTTCTCCTTGTTGGTTTGTCTTAAGTTTTACAACAGGACTCTCTTCTAGATCAGCTGTTGGTAGAAACGTGTTTCGTTCTTCGGCTAATTTTACCTCTTGTGGTGGAACCTGATCTTCGCTTCGATCTTCATTCTGTTCACAATAGTCATGTTCAACCTTCTGATGAACATCTTGCGAACCAGATAAACCGTCATCCTCTTGCTGGCTTCCCTCATCTTGCACACTAGGGATCGCCACTGACTCGGTATTACATTCTTTTGAACCAGAACAAGAAACAACCGTAGCGCCATTTTCTCCTTCTTTATTATCACGTTTTGACAATATTTCATTATAGCGTTGAATGCACCTATTGAGCTGAAGGCAATTGAACAACTTGTTGTGTATTCCAAGCACGGAACAGTGCTCTCCATCATGCCATCTTTGTATGTGATGTGAAGCAGTCATACAGCAAAGAACAACATTGAGAGGGCATTGACAACTTCGATATACTCGAGTTAACTCATCTGAAGAAAACGAATTAAGTATTTCACGATCTTTTGTCCAGACGTTATCTTCACAGTTGAAAAAACAAGGAAACAGGCTGACATATGTTGGATTCTTTGGTAACTGCTCTAAAACAATCGCTAAAAAACACAAATTGGAACAATCTCTTTGACGACACCAAGCGATATTTAACTCATGAAGCAATTCCGACGATTGTATGAAACTAACAGACAACAAGGAAATGACCAAACGGGCTTTATCTAAATATGCTAAACGAGTGGAAGCATTCTCGTTGGTAGAAATTTTCACAACAAAAGACTCATTTTGCGACGTAATGCAGTTCTGTAACAGAGAACAAGATTCAACATCTTCTGAAGAACAAATAATATAAATATCTACGTCACAATTCGGATCCTTGGGCAACAACGTAGGGGTGGGCACCTTATCCTGATTTAAAGCAGTATCAGTAGGTGTATCGGCAAACAATGAAACAAAATCTTTTTCGAAAAACAACGATCTAGCTTCTTCCAAACAAGATTGTAAGGAGGTTTCGACAATATCTTCAGATAAACTCCCGTTTCCTGCATCACCTATGAATATAAAACATTGAAATAGAACAGTAATATTACATTAATTAGTAATACAATACATATAGTAACTTTTCATTAACCACCCATAGCCAGGGATGGTAATATTACCTTGAAAAGCAGCCAGGAATTGATTACATACAAAGGACATCGAGGTACTATTTTCCTCTCCACTATCTTTATAACAGTTTACAGGTGACAGCATATTCAACCATTCAATGTTCTTTTGAAGTGGCTCAATCACGAGTGGCCATATCTTGCAGTTGTTTTGAAGTTGAAGCGCAATGGATAAACAAATTTCCTCATTGCAAACTTTTGAATGAAGATAATCATTTGAAATCAGGGCAATGACGAATTTTGAACAATCTAAAGTTTAAATTAAAAGCAATTAATCGTGATATTTTCAACAAAACACGCTGTTACGACACGATATCGTCATTATAATCATACATATGCATACACGTATGATTTCAACTATTTCATTTCCATTCCGCGCACAGTTCTTCGTTATGTGTATACAGCTAATTCAATTAGGATTGTCTCTGAAAGTCAAACCTTCGACCTCTAAGCACGAACAGCACACTTAGCGTGTTTATTTGGTGCAGATATTCTTGACATGAAGTATTGCGTTGACATGAAGTATTGCGTTTAATTGGCCGAGTCAAGTATATAGTCGAGATTTCGATTTTTGTCGTCTGTAAAGATTTTTTTACAAGGAAATAATTAAGCTTCAGGGGCCGGTTGTATAAAAAAGTGATTAAAGTTAACTATAATTAAGTGGAAACGTCATCCAATAAGAAGCGCCTATTTGAAAATTAATCACTATTTAACTACAAAATAGTGATTAAAAAGTGATTAAGAGTTTTATACAACCGGCCCCAGGAAGATTTTTTAAACGAGGGCGGCGGGCAAACTTTATTGCACTCGCACGATTCTTCTCAGGATTTCAGTGCATGCTGGATTTTCACGATGCAAACGATCGACAATATTTTGAATAATTCAGGTAAGGATAGCTTTCTTTCTTTCTTTCTGGCGATATACATGAGGGCATTTATATTTCATACCTAATTTTAAGAATTTTTTATCACTGCACATTTTTGTGCAAAGTTTAGCCGAGCTCTGGAAATTTCTGATTTGACATGGGGGCCCCTCGTGATTCCATCTTCTCACACTGTGATTATGGGCTCCGGGGGCATTCTCCCCGGAAAATTTTTGAAATCTGATGTCCCAAAAATCAGGCCAAATCCTGCATTTTGGAAGTTTAGTTGACAGTTTAACCGACGTATATTTCACTGTAATTCTCCATTCCCCCCCCCCTCCCTTAACTGCATGGGGCTCCAGGGCAAATTGCCCCCTCCACCCCTCCGAACCGGCCTTGGCAACACCTGCAGTTACGACTATCTATGACAGCATAGTATCATAATCACATGCTTGCAGAAAAGAAATATTTTCGTCTTGGCGAATGCAGAAATGTGGCTTAGACGTGACATGCAAACCTCTAGAGGAGTTCCAGGGCCATGCACCCACAGAAAAGTTTGTAATCTAGGCTCTCTAAAAAGGCATTTCCTGCAATAAGCGGGGATATTCAATAGAATTCTATAAAAGATTATACACAAATTGCAAAAAGTTAAGTATCATTCACTCCATCTTCCAAGCTCGTAAAGAGATCTTTGGTGAGCGACTTTGTTCATTTGATGAACCTTAAGTATAATATTAGTGCGGACGTTCGATAATAGTTTGGGCGCAGTTGTCATTTCAATTTCATTCAAATTATTCTCATTCAAAATGTTTTGATTAATACTGTCAAGTGTCAAGACAAATTTTTAGTTCAGTTTTTCGGCTCATTGCCTCATTTTCTTGTTAATTAACATAAATGTTAATTTTTTCTCTATTTTTTCGTGGCAAATCGCCACGGGAATGTTTAGAAAGACCACAACGTCAACGCTACCTTCTTTCGACTAACTGGGGATTAACAGGAACAAATTATTATGCCAAGTGCCCGTGCTACCTGTAACACACAACAATCTTGGAATCTATCAAATTATGATACATGCCGAGGACTTATTTCTTCCAGACACACTCTGAGCCTTTTCTTCCTTCATATCAATCACTTCTGCTTCATCATGTGTGTTTTGATGAACATCTCGCGAAGCACATAAAGCGTTATTAGTATCTCCTTGCTGGCTTGTCCTAACTTTACAACAGGATTCTCTTATAGAGTTATACATCAGCCGTTGGTAGACACGTGTTTCGTTTTTCTGCTAATTTTACCTCTTTTGGTGTAACCTGATCTTCGCTTCGATCTTCATTCTGTTCAACATAATCATGTACGTTCAACCTTCTGATGAGCATCTTGCGAACCATATAGGTAGATAGATAGATAGATAGACAATATTTCATTATAGCATTGAATGCACCTATTCAGCTGAAGGCAATTGAATAACTTATTGTGTATTCCAAGCACGGAAAAGTGCTCTCCATCATGCCATCTGTGTATGTGTTGTATTTTTATTTATTTTTTATTTATTAACTTTGCCAGATTTAAACAACGTTAACACAAAAAACTGGCAGGGCAATCGCAACAGCTTACGCCAATTACTGCGATCCCTAAATGTTATACAAATACACTATATACGTACATAGAAAAAATCAATTACTAACGAACTATCAGATGCAACTTTTCACATTGCGACCCGCAGAACCACTTCCATTTTTGGAAGCTGACTGAGTCAGAAGACGTTTGAAACCCTCACAATCCTAAACCTTCAGCAAAACCCTGAATAGGCCCCATAGATACCAATGTGAAAAGGTACTTCTGAAAACTAAATCTAAAAACAACACGTTATCGGCCTTGTCAGGTCGCGAGCTTGGTTGCATTTTAAGCAAACCGATTTCCATGTTCGTGGATCGTCAACGTCATAACATTTATCTAGTGCTGTTTTATAATAGATTAATAACTTATTTTTAAAGTCCTTTAAAGTTGCCATGCTATTAATAGTTAAATCCATTGGCAGTGTGTTCCAGACTCTAGTAGTCCTTATTAGATATGATTTTTGATAGGTAGATGTTTTGCATGCTGAAGTCTGAAATTGTAGGCAGTTAGGGTTTGTAGATCGGGTACGTTGACTTGAATTTTGAGGGTGAGGTAGTATGTCGCTGCTTAGGTTAATAATGTCATGGTGTGATTTGAAAAGGAACAATATGTCTAGGTACTCGTGCCAGTAACACAGAGGTAGTAGATTTAATGTTGAGAGACGATGGTTATAGTTGATGTCACAGAAGAACGGTAGGTTCAATATGTACTTCGACGCACGTCGTTGAACGCGTTCTGTACGCTTAATGAGGTCAACAGTTTGTGGAGCCCAAACTTGGGACGCGTATGCGAGGTGGGAACGAACGAGGGTAAGATATAGAGTCCGACGAACAGAGATGGTCTTGATTTTGATCGTGGACCGTCGAATATACCCGAGGGATTTGTTGGCTTGGGCACACTGGTGGAGGACTTGTTTCGACCATGTGAGGGTGGAGGAGGTCCAGACGCCAAGGTCACGTTCGCAATCTTTGGTTTCCAGAGCGGAATCTTGCAACTTGAAAGTATGGTCGATTTTGTTGCGTTTTCTAGTAATTCGAAGTGTCTTACATTTATCTGTGTTGAGGAGAAGATTAGCATTGGCAGAGGAGGTTTGGAAATTCGCAAGATCATTCTCCATAGCGGATGCATCAGCCTTCGCGTTTATCACCTTGTAAATCTTTGTGTCGTCAGCAAACGTCGCGATCTTCGAGTGGTTGATGGAGTTGGGGAGATTATTCTGATATAATAGGAACAGTAGCGGTCCAAGGATTGAGGCTTGTGGAACTCCGGAGGTTACTGGTAGTGCTGATGATGTTGCACCAAGTACTGTAGTCTGCTGCCGACGGTCCTTGAGGTAAGATCTAAACCAGTTAAGAATATTGCCACCGAATCCAAAATCACGAAGTCGTTTCAACAGTTGCATGTGACTTACTCGATCAAACGCCTTGGACATATCCAAGTAGATCACATCAACTTGTTTCCCAAGATCCAGCTCACGACCAATATACTCAAAGACTTCAATGAGCTGTGTAACACAGGACTTCCGAGGAACAAAGCCATGTTGACCGTTGTTAATCTGTTCGAAAAGGTGGTCTTTGATCTTATTGAACACGCATCTTTCCAATGCTTTCGAGATAAGCGAAAGAAGCGAAATTGGTCGATAGTTTTCTACGTGCTCTTTGTTGTCTTTTTTTGTGGACGGGAACAACATTTGCTAGTTTCCAGTCGCGTGGTAACACACCAGTGTTCAGAGATTTATTAAACAAGACAGTTAGTGATGGAGCAATTTGGCGAGCTGTTTCTTTTAATAATCGTGCAGGAATCCCATCTGGACCTTGAGCTTTATTAATGTCGAGATCATGCAATACGGAGAAAACATCGGCTTCCGAAAGGGTAATGTCCTCGATGATAGTA